TCTAAAAAATCTAATCATTTTTATTTTTATAATTTTCATTCTAAATTAATCTAATTTTCTAAAAATATTTCTAATTCCATCCTAAACTATGACTTGGATTCTAAATTAATCCTTAAACTTTTGATTTAATCCCCAAATTCACTCAAATATCTAATTAATTTTAGACATAGTTTAACCTAAATTTTATTTTTTTCCCAAACATATAATAATATAGTGTTTGAAGATTTAAATCTAATCTTTTTATTTTTAAAATTTGAAGATTTAAATCTAACCATTAATATGATTAAATTTAACTTTACATCTAATTTGGACATAAATTAATATATGTTTAGTAAGTGATGGGTAGAGATGAGTATAAAAATTAGATTCGTCGTAGGTGATGGTACATATGTGAGTATTGTATTTGAATATTTATAGTTTTAGAATGTATCTGATATATTAAATAACATTATAATGTGAAAAGAATATAAAGAAATATATATATATCGTATAGAAACTCAAACAACTCGATTCGATTCGAAAAAAATTAAAGTTAAATCTTAAATAACTCGAATTTTTTTATTCGAATTGATCAAATATTCATTCGTTTGAGGACTCGTATAGATTATGAAAAAAATTAATTTTAATCTTATAAACCATGAATGAGATAATTTTAAATATTTTACCTGTAAAACAAAAATAAAGATAAAAAATCTTATGAGGATGGATGCATTCCCTCAGGCCTCACCCCAATCAACATCTCCACATGCATTAGTCATATCATAATGAATGTGCATTAATTCTCTTAAACTTGGGGTTAATCAAGAACGTGATTGCACGCCTGAAATTAATTATGAACTAAAAATGATTGGATTTCACTTTTAAAAATTATAAAGGCTAAACTACACCTTTCGCCATTAAAATTTGAATAAATTTTTACTTGGGATACTGGAGTCTCAAAAGTTATTTTATAGTCATTAAAATCGATTAATCATAAAATAATCACTGTGTTGATAACTCACGTTAAGTTGATGGACGTTAACAAAAAAGCTTAATATTTAGGTTGGGTGGTTTAGTTTGTTACTCCCTCCTTTAGCATGTCAAAAGTATAATCATAGTATTTTGATATTAAAAAATGGAAAGGGTTAGTTTTGGATAACATGTGTTGGGATTTTCGGAAGCTCGAATCGACAACCGGAATTGCTTGCAAAGAGGGTCGGGATCGGTTTTTATGTTTAGGGAGTAAGGAGATTAAAAGATAGAGAATTGCACAGCGATTTAGAGTGGTTCACTTGCACTACCTTAGCTCCTCACCAAGGATTTTCCAACAAATTCACTAATTTGTTCTTTCTTTTGAGGACAAAGAGTAACCTTACAAACTCTCTAGTTTTTCCGGGCTAAACTAGAACATTTCCCTAGCTTTTACACGGGATTAGCTAGAACCTTTCCCTTTTACAAAATGATAAAAGAAGTAAACAATAAAACCTCTCTAAGGTAGGTGTTTACAAGATTGAGCTCACAAGAACAAAATATTTACAAGAGAAAGATGAAATAAGAATGAAAAACTCTTCTCTTGTGTTTGATTACTTGGATAGTTTTTGTCTTTCTTTTTCAAGTGTCCTTAGCTTGTATTTATAGCTTGAAATGTGTTTGATGTCGTATATAACCGTTGGGGATGTTTTGGAGCCGTTTGGGGATGATTTTTCTACTCAAAAAGGTTGCCCATAACATGGTGCATCGGTGCACTATCATGGTGCATCGATACCCCTTCATTAAATTCAAATAAACTAGCCGTTGCAACCTTCGTGCATGGATGCACAGCAGGATGAATCGATGCACAACAGGATGCATCGATGCACTAAGTGCATTCAAAATGGAGTGCATGGATGCACTGCATGGTGCATCGATGCACTAGTGGCAGGTGCATGGATGCACTGCAGGGGTGCATGGATGCACTGCAGGGGTGCATTGATGCACTGCAGGGGTGCATTGATGCACTTTGACACCCTTTAGCATTTTTGCTCAAATTCGAATTTAATGGACTTTGAATTATTTTTGAAACCTTTTTAAAACTTTGAATAAATTCAATTCAAGTCCAAAAACATTTTGCTTTAAATTTGTTATATCGAAACATAATTCAACAACATGCTATGGTCTAACATATCCAAAGTGGTTTAGAATTTGTTTAATTTTAGATGTAGTTTTTGAACCTTTGAACAAAAAAATCTTTTAGGAATGTTAAAATTTATTTATATTTATAGAAATAGGATCAAAATGATGTAATGTATAAGGGTTGAGGATTTTTAAGAATAAGGACTAAACTAAGATTTCTTTATAGCTAAGGGGATAAAGTTGATATTAATCCTTTTTGTTACCCTCGAGATCCAAATTAGTTTTCATTGTGTGGTAATTGGTAAAATAAACATGACACGATTAAAGTCCAAATAGAGTAGGTGCCATGGGGAAATGACACTTGAGATTTCGGCATTTAAGCTGGAAAACCTATGGCCCATATATTCCTTATTAAAAGAATTGTCAATTATTTCTTATTTTAAATAAAATTAAACACTTATTTTTTTATCGGTATCTTAGTCGTTACAACAACACGAAAGATGTGTGTGTTGAGTGTACTTAAACGAATAATTTCCCAAATTAGGATGGTAATTTAAGCCAAAATTGATAGAGTACGACATGATCCAATCTGATAGGATTGGGTCAAATTTTATATATGGATGAGATTGATCGGCTAGGTTTGGGTGGAGAGTGAAAAATCTCTAACCCAACCAGATCTGAAATTAATAATATAATTTTTTTCATATAAATTTATAGACAATTGCTATAATACTCACATCTCTATAGTTTTTAAATTAGGTCATTATTTTATAACGGGTTAGATTTATACTTTAAAATTTTGGGTCTGGTTGGATTCAGGTGAAGGAAATATGCTTTTTGAGTCAGGTCAAATCGGGTTCATGATATATATTTTTTGGGCCGAGTTGGGTTTGAGTGGATGATATATATATATATATTGGGTCGGGTCGAGTTAACCAAAAACTCAGTCCGACCTGACTAGTTGTCATCCCTATCCCGAACCCGTTAAGTGGCTTCAGTGGTTAAGTACTCTTCCTTAAAGGTCCATGGGTTCGAGCATCTATATCTTCAGGGTGTATATACGTTGTCAATGATTAAAAAATATTATGAACAAATACTATATTATAATCACTTCAGACTATTTAAAAACAATATATAATTCCCTCTAATTTACATATTTAGGGTAGTTATAATGAGTTTAAGTATCATCAATACTATATATTAAACTCCAAATTAAGTTAGTGACATGAATTATTTCAACACTAATTCAGTTTAAAAATAACGAAAAGTACTTTAACGTATAATAAATATTATTTTCTAACTTTTTTTTCTTCATATTTTTAATGAAATAATAGTATTTAAATGAAACAATTAAAAATCATTACTTAAAATCAAATACCATCATTTATTTACTAGTTGATCTAGCGAAATGAAGTGTTAGATTTATAAAATAACATTCATGACGTAAATTCTATTATTTTAATGAAGTAATCCGAACCAAGACAATCCTCTTATAATAGTTTTATAATAATGAAATTTATAATAATCAATTGATAAATCAAATATTATTCATCATACAATATTGGTCGAATATAAGTGGCCATACAACAATTTAGGAGGGAAAGAAAGAGATGGATGGATGGTAAATTTACAGTTGAGGCTTTGGGCCCATTTCAAAAAATGACTATTGATGGTGGGCCTAATTTTATTTTAATTTCACTTAAATTTCTTTTTTTTAAAGAAAGAAAGAAAAAGATTTCGACAAAGAAGATGAAGAGAGAGAAAATTACAAAATACAATTTTTTAATATAAGGTTAGAAAAAAAAAGGCAGAAATCAGTTGATATAATTTTTTTTATTAAGAACGTAACCTTTTAATTTAGATAGAACAACTTTTTAGATTAGATAGGTTATACAGAAAATATTACATTCTTCATAATATTTTTTATTATCAACCTTAAATCCGTACAATCTAACTTTTTGGTTACAATAAAAATATTAAAAATTTATATAAAAATTTAAATTGAATGTGATGACAATTTAAATTAAAACCGTTTTAAATTAATCTTAAATTAAACGGTCGTACGTCGAACCATCCCAAGGAGGGCCATGTGTTCGTAAGAGGTGAACAGGCTTTTAAACGAGAGTACAATGTCCCACGAAACGGATGAAGACAACCTTTGCTCTTCGCCATCTCCATCAACTCTCCCTCCCGTTTCAACGTACGCCTTTATTCTTGCAATGCTTTTACTTCATATAAATCTCAACAATTTCGAATAGAGATAATTATACAATACCTCCTTAAATTATAATTTATATTTTAAATTAATTTTTAAATTTTCTAAAATTTTATATTATTTTTTAAAATATGTCTTTTATTCTAAATTAATTTTTAAATATTCTAATCTCTTCTCTCAAGCTATCAATATAATTTTACCTTAATCATATGTTAACATATCATTAACTCTATTGGTTAAAAAAATTTAATATGTTTCTGAAGGTCATGAGAATAAAAATTCTTATCATTTAAAAAAATTTAAGACTTTCAAAACAAATATTTTTTTAAAAGGACGGAGATTCAATTCTCAAGACCTTAAAAATATATTAATTTTTGTTAGAAGCTCAAGAGTTCAATTCTTGTGGCCTTAAAAACCAATAGAATGAATGACACAGTAGCAAAAGGAACGAAATAAAACGAGATTAATAATTTAAGGACATATATAGAATGCTTTAAAGTATATGATCATTTTAGAATGTAAGCCATAAAGATTGATATAAAATATTTTAAAATTTAAGAACTAATATGAAAGGAAGGTCATAGTTTAGAGACCTTGTGTACAATTAACCGTTTTGAATATGATATATGCATAATTCTATTAAAACAATTAAAATATGTACCACTTTAACCAATAATCAGTTGGTCTAATGGGATGAAACACTAGATGTTTTAAACAATATCAAGAGTTTGAACCTTGATATTTATGAATGGAACAAAATGGATTGAGAGAATTATCCCATAATGGACATCTACAAAACCCGATCTAAATTAGTCGACCTCTACATGAATAAACAATATGAATATACAATATATATATATATATATATATATATATATATATCAAAATAAATATAAAATGAATAATTAATATTGTCAATACTGGTGTTATAAAAATATTATTTGAAAAATACATGAATAGAATGTGATAAAGAAATTGCGTAAGATCTAGTTTCACATGCCCCGTTCCATTAACGTTGCATTAGGATGGTCCCATTTCTGCGTTGTGTCGTCCACATAGCTCAAGTTAAATAGTAGTTTGTTCTTTTCTTTTCTCTCCCTATTTCGTATCTCTCTCCTACCACACGGTTGGGTGAGAACCATCCACTTTTTTTTAATTTACTTTTATTGGTTTTTCTTTTTTGATAATGAAAGTTCCTTAATTATCGAATATCTTCTCGTTGATATACAATAGATGAAACAGTGATTTACGATAATATAGACGGTAAGAGAAGAGATGGTTTACGATTTATGATTCACCCTTTATGATTTAGATAAATAATCATTGATTAGTTATAGAGAAAATAACTTCAATGACCGAAAATACCTTATAATATACGATTTTAACCAAATTTTTTTAGATTTGTAAAAATAACCAATAAATTCGCAACGCGAACTCCTATTTCGCAACACAGTTTCCAAATTCGCAACTCGAACATGGAAATTTTTGCAACGCGAATTACCGATATAGGTAAACACAACTATTCGCAACGCAAATTTCGCATATCGAATTCGTCAATTTCGCAACTCAATTACCGATATAGATAAAAAACGGTAGAAAAAATCCGGTAAAAAATCCGAATTCGACAATTTGAAAACTGAGTTGCGAATTTGACAAATTCGTATTGCGGAATGTAAAATCCCGTCTCTTAAAGAAAAAATTAAATGACATAAAATGCACTGGAGTAGTTTTCAACCTGAGATATCCCAGTTGCTAAGTCCACGTATGAATCACTCAGCTAAACCTACGCCTGTAAATGAATGAACAAACACGAATGAGGGTATGTTCATGTTCGATCGTTAGTTTAACTTTAACCAAACAAACGAACTGTCGAAATGATTTTTTCTTTAAGAGGCGAGATTTTACATTTCGCAACACGAATTTGCCAAATTCGCAACTCAGTTTTTAAATTGGCGAATTCGGATTTTTGACCGGATTTTTTCTACCGTGTTTACCTATATCGGTAATTTAGTTGCGAAATTGACGAATTCGCATTGCGAATAGTTGTGTTTACCTATATCAGTAATTAGCGTTGTGAAAATTTTCATGTTCGCGTTGCGAATTTGGAAACTGTGTTACGAATTTGAAATCGCGTTGCGCTTTTGTTGGTTATTTTTGCAAATCCAAAAAAAATTGATTAAAATCGTATATTATAAGGTATTTTCGGTCACTGAAATTATTTTTTCTTAGTGATTTTATGGAAATAGGGATGGAGTCTGTTATGTGTTTATTTTGCCTTTATTTTTTTACGTATAGTTCTCTTTTTTTTGGTTTAAGACTAATTCATAAATCAAATCCCATCAAGATTTTTATCTCAAATCTGAGACATTGGATATATTCTTTGTGTTTGTGATTGATGGTGGGAGCCCTATTTATTACCCATTTGTTTTCGGGTCATTCTATACTTAGTAAAATCACATAACATTTCTCCCTCTCGTAAAGGCTATAAAGTGGCACGTTGAGATGTTTACTTGTTCTGAATTTCAATATTTATCCCTTCTAATTTGAAAGTAAAGTCATATTCTTCATCTCATCGTGATGAGACATTCTATTTGGGAGTAGTCCTGTTGAGCTTGCGAAGAGAACTCATTTCAAAGTATCCCTATAATTTTACCTTAGCGCTAATCTAGCGATGAGGGTGTCTCAAGGGCATCTTCGTTTGTACAAATGAGGACAATTAAATCATGAGGGACTTTGACATTTCACCCTTTCTGATTTAGGTCGAGAGCTATGTTTTTCATCTCATCATGGTGAGACATCCATTTAGAGGCAACCCCGATGAATGTGCAAATGCTTCTTATTTTGAGATATTCTTACAGTCACCTTAGCATTGGTCTAGCAGTGTAAGTGTTACAAGGGCATCTCAGTTTATAGAAATGGAGACAATCAGACCATGAGAGACTTTGACGATTCATCCTTTTGATTTAGGTCAAGAGTCACAAATTCATCTCATTAGCTGACATCCCAATAAGGACCTCTCACCTAGAGACATATCTCATAACTTGCAGAGTCGATCATAATTATCTCTCATAAAATTCAAGAGATATTGACATCCACATCTCATAGAGTTGCAGAGAGATTACAAGAATTAATATAATTTTCCAATCTCACGGGTCAGAAGCTATGATCAAGGAGCTTCTCACGTTGTACAGGCAGAGGCGTCTCATTTAAAGGCATCTACAAATGTTCTTGATGAAGGCATCTACGACATTAGGATTAATAGTTCTTCTCCAAAGCAATACTGCAACTGTCGATGGTTCAACTTGAATTTCAAAATTTCCACTGTTTCGATTTTAATTTATGTAAGCTGTAGACGTGCACGTACAATAGCATGGCTATAGCATGTGGATAGTTTCGGTTATATTTGGCGCCAGAGTTTGTTAGATTGTTAGAGCAGTTATTAGCTCAACACCAGCTATAAAGCTGGCATACTTGTGAACTGTAAAGAAGCAGAAATATACTGATCTTTGTATTCTGTTCTTCAACATGGCATCTTTCGCCGATCGATCTTGGGTTTCTTAATTCACGACTTGTGTCTGTGCATCTTGGTTTGGAGCTTCATGGAGTCGTTCACACGTACCGGCTTCTCTCACAAGAGAATCAATGTCGTTCTTGATGAGACAAATTTCCTCCTGTGGAAGCAGCAAATCCTGCTCACGGTAAGGAGCCACAGACTTGAACGTCTGCTAACTGGAGTGCTCAGGCCACCACCGGAGACAATACTCGATGACTCTGGGGTAACTCGTGCCAATGATGCATTCGAAGATTACGTAGCGCAGGATAGTGCGCTGGCCTCTTGGCTTCTATCAACCATCAGTTCTCCTCTGCTTCCTCACTTTGTGGGTGCTGAATCTGCAGCCGATGTGTGGAATATTGTTCAACAACTTTTTGCGAGCAGGTCCACGACTGCTGCCATGAGTTTGCATTGCAAACTACAGTCACTCCAGAAAGGTAATGACAGTATGCGGGTATACCTTACTCGAGTGAAGGAAGTGTGCGACGCACTAGCATCGTGTGGCAGCGCTGTTTCACATGTTGGCCATGTTGCAAGCATTTTGAAAGGCCTGCCTAGGGAATATCAACCATTTATGGCTGTCATTACCACAATGAAGGAAACGTTATCTTTGGATAGTTTACATACTGTTCTGTTAGATGCTGAAGCACAACTGGCCGGGTTTGATGAGCAATTAGATCACGTACCTATGGCCGCCAATATAGCTGAAAGAAAGGAAGTTCATGATTCGTCTTTTAATGGGCGTCGAGACTCTAAAAACATACGCCCATCGACTGTCAACAGAACTGGTGGTCAAGGTCGAGGCCGAGCCAAAGTTCAATGCCAACTTTGTGGCAAAGTTGGTCACATGGTAGATCGTTGCTGGCACCGGTTTGATGAGGAATTTATGTGTGTGACGTTTGACTCTCAAACTCACAATACTCGTAAAAGTCAGTCTATCAACGCTCATTACTCGGCTGCTGATACTTCGAGACTCGGTTGTGAATGCTGCAAGGGCCACTCCCAAGAAGCAGGCAGTATGCAAGCCAACACTGCTTCTAGATTTAACGACCACTGGGTGGTCGACTCTGGAGCCACGCATCATATTACCCCAGATGCAACAAATGTTTCGAACACCACTGAATTTCGAGGTCCAGGTAAACTAACTATCGGAAATGGGGCCTCCATTGATATTCATAACATTGGTACTGCTCAACTTCCTCTTACTACTAACTCGTCAAGAACCCTGATCTTGAACGAGTTGTTACATGTACCTTATATAACCAAAAATTTGCTTTCCGTATCCAAGCTTGCTAGGGACAACAAGGTTTATCTTGAATTCCATGCTGAAAGATGTCTTGTTCGTGATGAACGTTCCAAGGCGATCTTACTTCAAGGTATTGAGAAAGGTGGTTTATATGTGTTTTCGCTGAGCGGGCTTGATGCAGAAAAGAAGACTGCTGAAGCTAACATTGCATATGCCTCTCAATCTGAGCTGTGGCATCGACGGTTGGGGCATCCAGCTAGTTTGCGTTTAGTAAAGTTGCAAAAGAACTTGATGTAAGACTTGACCTTGATGTTAATAAAACTTGTGTGGCTTGCTTTATGGGTAAAAGTCACAAGCAACCGTTTCCTTCATCAAGTACCCAATACAGTGCACCATTTGAGCTAATTTTTTCTGATCTTTGGGGACCTCCCCATGTTGCTTCTAATGGTTATAGGTATTATGTAACGTTTATAGACGCCTTTACTCGTTTTACTTGGCTTTATCTACTCAAAGATAAAGCTCAAGCAGTTGAAGCATTCAAGGGATTTCACAAGTTAGTTACAAATCAATTCGGTGGCTCGATTAAAGCGTTGCAATCAGATTGGGGTGGAGAATATCGAGTGTTTTCTGTCTTACTTGCTAAATCCGGGATAGTGCACCGACTGACCTGCCCTCACACGTTTGAGCAAAACGGGGTGGTCGAACGCAAGCATCGCCATGTCGTTGAGTTAGGTCTTGTACTGCTTGCCCAAGCTTCATTGCCTTTGCAATACTGGTCATATGCCTTCGTAACTGCTGTTCATCTCATAAATCGTCTTCCAACATCTGTTCTTGGAGGGATTACACCATACGAGAAGTTGACTCAAAGAAAACCGGATTATGCTTATCTCAAGGTCTTCGGATGCCAGTGCTTTCCACATCTCAGACCCTTCCAGAATAACAAACTATGTTTTCGATCACAATCTTGCATATTTCTTGGCATTAGCCCTCGACACAAGGGTTACCAGTGCTTGGCAAACAATGGTAGAGTATACATCTCTAGGCATGTGGTATTTAACGAATCTGTTTTTCCATTTGCAGAAAAAAACGCAGCCTGTTCATCACGTGGTTCGCAGGGTGTTTGCTTGCAAAATATTCCGATTGTAGCTGATGTAAAGAAGTTGAGTCTTGATACTATGTCTACAAACCATCAGGATGCTGCAGTTGTTGAGGACAGTGATGAACAACAGTGCCAGAATATGATTGAATCAAATAACAACAATGTTGGGACCACACAAGGTGAAGGGTTAATTCCTATAGCTGGCTCGGGGGCAGAATTCAATGTGCCTGTTGTAAATGATACTGATGCAGTAACTAGCTCAAATCGAGAGCATGAAGAATTGGTGTCACCTACTTTACCAGTGATGGAAAGTCATCATCCGATGATAACACGCAGTAAACGTGGTATTTACAAACCCAAGTTGTATTCTATTCATTTTGATAATGAGATTCCCTCCTCGGTACAAGAAGCGCTACAGACGACCGAGTGGAAGGAGGCAACGCAAGCCGAGTTCGAAGCACTTCAAAGGAACAATACGTGGGAACTGGTCAAATTGCCAGAAGGTCGCACTCCTATTGGGTGCAAATGGTTGTTTAAGCTAAAGCGTAACCCCGATGGTTCTATACACCGCTATAAGGCACGACTAGTTGCGAAAGGCTACTCGCAAATACCAGGACATGATTTCCTCGATACATACAGCCCGGTTGTTAAGTTCGCCTCCCTTAATGCAATCTTGGCACTAGCAGTGTCAAATAACTGGGAATTGAGACACATTGATGTGAACAATGCCTTCCTCAATGGTGATCTTACTGAGGATGTATTCATGAAGCAACCACCAGGATTTGAACAATTTGCTGAAGATGGATCTACACTGGTCTGCAAGCTTCAAAAGGCCTTGTATGGACTGCGCCAGGCGCCCAGGAATTGGCACGCTAAGCTCCGCAACAGCCTTGTACAGATGGGTTTTACAGCTTCACGAGCAGATGCATCCTTCTTTGTTTGCAAACGAGATACTGGCAATGTGTATGCATTAGTATACGTTGATGATATCGTCATTACGGGGCCCTCGTCGTGTGTGAAATTCAAGCAGTAGTTCAGTTACTCAGTTCTGCTTTTTCGCTTAAGGATCTTGGTGCACTTCATTTCTTCTTGGGAATTGAAGTTCATCGCTCCCGTGAATGTCTCTTCTTGAATCAGAAGAAGTTTGTGCTAGAGTTGCTAGAAAAAACGAACATGACAAGGGCAGCTGCTTGCCATACACCAATGGTTCTGGCACCAAAGCTGTCAAAGGATGCTGGAGAGTTACTGCCGAATCCAAGTGAATACCGCAGCGTAGTAGGGTCATTGCTATACTTATGTCACACCCGACCTGATTTGTCTTATAGTGTGGGAAAGGTGGCGCAATTTATGCATGCACCACGAGAAATGCATTGGCTTGCAGTCAAGCGAATCCTTCGATATCTGGTTGGTACGATAGATTACGGGTTAATGTTTCAAGCAAGCAAGGCAGAACTGACTGTATCAGCATTTGCAGATGCTGATTGGGGAGCAAATGTAGACGATCGAAGGTCAATCTCTGGCTATGGTGTGTTCATTGGCAAATGTTTAGTTGCATGGAGTTCAAAGAAACAGAAAACCGTATCTCGATCCACAATGGAGGCTGAATACAAGAGTTTGGCTGACGCAACAGCTGAAGTCGCTTGGACGAGCTCTTTTCTTGCAGATTTGGGGTTTCAGCAGTTGAGAGAGCCAGTGCTTTGGTGTGACAACACAGGAGCAGTAGCCATGAGTGCTAATCCTGTGTATCATGCTCAATCGAAGCATATAGACCTCGATATACACTTCGTTCGGGAGAAGGTTGCAGCTGGTCAGTTGAGGGTTAACTACATACCAGCCGGGCATCAAATAGCTGATGGTTTCACCAAACCACTCTCCAAGTCTGCATTTGAAGAGTTTCGCCGCAATGTGTGTGTTGTACCAGGGTTGTAACATTGTCTTAGTAAAAAAAAAAGAAAAAAAGAGTAGAAGGAATGTAAGCTGTAGACGTGCACGTACAATAGCATGGCTATAGCATGTGGATAGTTTCGGTTATATTTGGCGCCAGAGTTTGTTAGATTGTTAGAGCAGTTATTAGCTCAACACCAGCTATAAAGCTGGCATACTTGTGAACTGTAAAGAAGCAGAAATATACTGATCTTTGTATTCTGTTCTTCAACAGTCCCCAAAAGGAACTACAACATTGTATGTAATGGTTCATTTTAATACATATGTTCATCTCTCATAAATTTATGGAGGAATTTATAATCATGTCTCATAAAATTACAGAGAAATTCATAATCACCTTTTATAAAATTACTAAAGAATTGACTTCAAATATTATATTATTTTAAATCATGAAGTTTAATGCATTTTCAGCCATTCATGTCCCAACATTTTGATACTAGCGTTAAATACTTAATAATCAAGTGATCAAAAGAAACAAATTAAAAAGAAACACGAATAAAATTGAAGGAAAATAAATAGTTTACCCAATAATAAAGTTAAACTCGGCGACTATTGACAGTTTATTTCATGTTCATAAAATTGACAAGATTATAGTGCAGAACTGAACGTGCATGTTCTGAACATCATGCACGTACTCCCACTTGCCTTAGACTTCCAAATAGTTGTCCATGTCTCTCATCATTCATCTTACAAGCATATATAATAGGTTAAGAGAGACAGAGAGCAAAGTTGTAGAATAGGGCCAATACAACCATACTAATGCATAAACAAAGAAAAGTCTAAAATTACGCCGACGGATAGCATGCCATTGCCAGCCCACGGCCGATAGTAATTTGCAATGTTAGGACAGTAGAATGTAATAACTTCTTTTTAGCATAGATGATTAAGTTAAAGGAGGGATGTAAATGATCTAAACTTGGATGAATATATATTTATTTATATTATTAACTCTATTCCTGGTCTCTTTCATAAATAAATCTTCTGAAAGTTTTTTTTAGTCGATTATGAATTTTGGATTCTCATACTCTCCCATCCGTCACCTTCTCTTGACATGATTTTTGGAAGACTTGTTTAATTTATCAGAGTTAAATTTATTGTCAAACAGTCATATTCATTCAACTTGTCAACCGACGAGTAGCAATCATGATCTTAAATCTGACACGAACACTAAGGATCACTATAAAATCATTCAACCAATACTGAGGGAGGGGACTTTTAGACTGAGAATTTTCCTTCTTATAATGAAATTCCACTTCATCTCAAAAAATCTCCTTAACCAAATGATTTGAGTCTTCTGTAACTTCATTACATGATTTTTGGAAGATTTGTTTAATTTATCATAGTTAAATTTATTGTCAAACAGTCATATTCATTCAACTTGTCAACCGACGAGTAGCAATCATGATCTTAAATCTGACACGAACACTAAGGATCACTATAAAATCCTTCAACCAATACTGAGGGGGGGGGGACTTTTTGACTGAGAATTTTCCTTCTTATGATGAAATTCCACTTCATCTCAAAAAATCTCCTTGACCAAATGATTTGAGTCGTATGTAACTTCATTACATGATTTTTGGAAGATTTGTTTAATTTATCAGAGTTAAATTTATTGTCAAACTGTCATATTCATTCAACTTGTCAACCGAAGAGTAGCAATCATGATCTTAAATCTGACACGAACACTAAGGATCACTATAAAATCCTTCAACCAATACTGAGGGGGGGGGGACTTTTTGACTGAGAATTTTCCTTCTTATGATGAAATTCCACTTCATCTCAAAAAATCTCCTTGACCAAATGATTTGAGTCGTCTGTAACTTCATTAGTTGAACCATCGACAACGACTCTTCACTCAAATCAAAAGAAGTGAACCATTTATAATCATCACAATCACAATATTATCATCAATTAAATTATTATGATATAGTTCATAGAATATTTTTTTATTTACACTCCTAAGTTAAATGATTAGTTTATTAGAATAGTGGGTTATTTATTAGGCTGATTATGTTATATCCAATTAAAGTTATGTATCACATGCCAAGAGACTTCAATAATAAAAGACGCAAGGAAAGTGGTTTTTGGTCTCAAATTCTTAATTTGTTTTCTTATTTGCATTATCTATGTAATGTCTCATATTCGATTCAGTTGTAAACCAGATCAAGGGTACTATATTCGAAAAATAGGACGATAATATAACTAATCATAATTAATTTATATGTTGTCTAACTAGAAATATTTCACACATTACAAAAGATGACACTAAATTGTAGAACATAGCAAATACTTAGGCTTTAATAATAATTACAACAAAATTCAAGCATTAAAGAACAAATTTTACACTTTCATAGGTTGAGTATCAATACTGATGATTTTAGGTATCAATACTGAATTTGAGCATTGAAAATTTTATTAAAAATTGAGTATCGATACTTCCGTCTTAGTGTCAATACTCATTGTTCAAAATTCCACCTACAAGATTCAATGTTAGATCAGTGTCTAGATCTTTGTGACTGGGATGATGTAGCTCTCCATAATCCTTAAGAATCTATGGCCCTCGAGAATACCTAATCCTCTAACAAGAATTGAAAACAATGAGAATATACATGTGATCACAACATATCGTTAGGCTAGAAAACGAGTGTCAGATTTAGAAATGGACCAAGTTATGCCTCTTCTCTACTACTAGACATAGAGCTAGTACCCCCTTGACTAAACCCTCTGCCATATCGAGCTATCAGGGTTGACCTATGAGATTAAGTTGGTGTCACTAAGTAATCAGGCTACACAATTACAGATATCTAGATAATCTACTGCCATATGTGATCACACATATATATAAGTACCGATAGGTCACACATATCAATATTTTCTCTTTAAGGCCAATCAATGTAGCTTAACTACATAATCATAATATTTATTCATCCATAAGGCTTAACTACATAATCATAATCTAACTTATTCACAAACATAGCTCATTCTTTCATAGAGCATTTCATATGAAGGCATATATGTATTTCATTAGCCTATGACCCTTAATAAGATTTGTCATAATATTATGAGAGATTCATTCAAGCTATGAGAAGTTTACTGTTCTTTCATTTATATACAATCAATCTTATCATTTTATGCTTGGAGGCACTTTAGTCATTTAACACAGGGTATTTTAGACATTTTAACCTTCAAGAAATTTCCACTAATCTCAATATATAGATTTCTTATGACCCATTAATAAGTAATAAGAGTATTATTTTTCATTTCATAATTTTTAAACCCTTAATTTCAATCATTATGCTTATAAGGATATTTTTATAAATTTTGCACTTATAGGGAAATTTTGGTAAATTTATCCCTCTCAAAGGTATTTTAATCATTTATCACATTAAAGCCTTCATTAAGGCTCATCCAATCATTATGGATCATTTCCAACTCTCAATGAACAAATTAGAAGTTAAACAAGGCTTAAACAACATTAGAGATCGATACGAAACATGAGGTATCGATACACAACCTTAGAGTGTCAATATTGTTGGTAAGTATTGATACCGAATTGACAAAATGAAATTCAACTCTTTCTCTCAATATCGATATCAAAGATTTGATATTGATATCGATAGTACATTATCTATACCTGAAGAATGAGTATTGATACTTCTTGAACATTTAGCCAATATTTCCACTCTAATTTCATATGATATTGATATCGTAAGAACATTATTGATGCCAAGCTCAAAAATTATATCTCGTCTCTATGAACACTTGATTTAAGTCCTTATTTGATTTTCTAAGGCTTATGAGAGAAGTATAGGATCATATATCTTATTTTCACATGTTTAACAACACATTCATCAATTGATCAATTAGCATGCTTAACACCCAAAACATTCACATGCATCATACCAACAAACAAAACATCATATTATGAAGTTGAAGAAACATTTTAAAGTGTACTATCTTAGCTCAAATCATGAAAGATAGCTCATTCCTTAGCTCTCACTGACCTTTTCCTTTTATTTTACATTAAAGGGTTCTCCCACACTACAACAAAATGGTTTTTAGTTGTATTTTAGTGGCTTTTTTGATCAAACACTGATAAATACTCATACTTTAGTGACGTTTTTATACAAACGCCTCTAAATACTCATATTTTAGTGGTATTTTTATATAAACGCCGCTAAAGATTCATAATTTAGTGGAATTTTTATATAAACACCGCTAAAGATTCCTACTTTAATAGTGCTTTAAGCACAAACGCCGCTAAATTCTGTACCTTAGATAGATGCAAAATGGAAATGATGTTATCTGTGTACGCAACCTACGATTTAACCCCACGGATCGCTCTGAATCTCGATAGGCATTTGGTGTTTCCGTTGCTGGAGTTCTTGCAAGAGAGTCAGCAATACCCAGATGAGCAGATCTTGAAAGCAAAGATGGAGCTGTTGAACAAGACGAACATGGTTGAATACGCCATGTGTTGGGGAAATTGGGTTATTTCCCACACGAACGTAGTTTCAAAATTGACCTAAAATGTCAAGATCAAAACCACCAAAGGTTACACAGCGGATAAACCTATCAAACTATTGAATATTGAAACACAATGAAAAAAATCGAATAAAAACAATAAAGGAGATAACACACCAAATTTACGAGGTTCAACGAGAATATCGTCTACTCCTCGGGCACCACACCGGATGATAACTTCACTATATCACCAATATTACAACAAATGGAATTCTTTAGAATTCCCAAAGTGGGAGAATGAAGAATACAAGAGGAAGAAAGAACTTGTTTTTTGGGATGATATCTAATTAAATACTTAGGCCTATTTATAGTTGAGTTTTAAGGACTAAACTTATAAATAACCTAATATTTTAGGGATTAAACATGAAAAATAAGTTGGTCATCTACCAAAGAATTTTCCAATGTGTACAAGTTAGCCACCAAATATGAAATTCCCATGTTCAAAGTTTGGCCACCAACCAAGATGAAATTTCCAATAAGTTTGCCACTAACCAAGATGAAATTTCCAACTTGCCAACTTAATTTCAATCCAAATCTAACAAATCTCCACATTGGCTTGAAATTACCAAGCCTACTCAACTTCTTCAACTCCCCAAATTTGTAGTGCCTCTAATTGCGCTCATAAGCGCCATACACCCGAAGGTGTTCATACTTTCAGGATGTTAATCAAGTTCAAACAATGATTGAACTTGATTACTGTTACCACCTTGGTCATCATATCTGCAGGATTTTCTAATGTTGTAATTTTCTGAAGTAGAATCTTTCCTTCTTCAAAGATCTCCCGCACAAAGTGATACCTCATTTACAACCTCTGAAACTGTCATGTATTCTTCCTCTGTAGTAGACAAGGCCACCGTAGATTGCAATGTAGACTTCCAACTTACTTGGGCTTTAGCAAGAGTAAACAAATACCCAGTTGTTGATCGACGCTTATCTAAATCACCAGCATAATCGGAATCAGCATATCCAACCACACACTGACCAAGTGCTTCATCATGTTTAAAAACTAAACCAACATCAACGGTTTGTTGGAGATAACGTAGAATCCATTTCACAGCTTGCCAATGTCCTTCTCCAGGATCATGCATGTACCTACTCACAACTCCAACTGCTTGTGAAATGTCAGGACGCGTACACACCATTGCATACATCAAGCTCCCAACTGCATTAGTATATGGAACTTTTACCATATACTCTCGTTCTTCGTTAGTTTTAGGAGATAATTGAGAACTAAGTTTCACATGAGAAGCCAGTGGGATACTTACATGTTTGGTATTTTCATTTACGCCAAAACATTGTAATACCTTTCTCAGATACTGCTTCTGTGTTAAACAAAGCTTCCCTCTCTGTCTATCTCTGCTTATCTCCATACCAAGAATCTTCTTAGCCTCACCTAGATCTTTCATCTCAAACTCTTGATTCAACTGAGACTTTAATTTGTCTATCTCCTTTTAACTCTTCGAAGCGATCAACATATCGCCAACGTACAAGAGAAGATAAATGAAAGATCCATCTTTGAGCTTTTGCAAATACACACAATGATCATATTTGCTTCTAATGTACTTTTGCCTCCTCATAAAGCTATCAAATCGTTTGTACCACTGCCTCGGAGATTGTTTCAATCCATATAGCGATTTGTTCAGCTTACAAACCCATTTCTCACGACCACCATCTTTGTATCCTTCTGGATGAGTCATATAGATCTCTTCTTCTAAATCACCGTGCAAGAAAGTCATCTTTACATCAAGTTGAGCTAGCTCCAAATTCAACTGTGCTACCAAGGCTAATAATATTCTAATGGAGGAATGCTTCACAACAGGGGAAAATACTTCATTGTAGTTGATTCCCTCCTTTTGAGCGTAACCTTTAGCTACCAACCGTGCCTTGTAGCGAACATCTTTCTTGCTATGAGATCCATCTTTCTTTACAAATACCCACTTGCATCCAATTGCTCTTTTACCTTTCGGTAATTGTGCTAGTTTCCAAGTGTTGTTCTTTTGGAGAGATTGCATTTCTTCATCCATGGCACTTTTCCACTTATCACTTTCCAAGCTTTGTATTGCTTATTGGTAAGTAATAGGGATATCATCATCAACAACTGGAAGAGCAGAGGCCACCATATCAACAAATCGAGCAGGTCTACGAATTTCTCTCATTGGCCTTGTAACTGCAAGTGGTTCTTGTGTCTCCAATGGTTCTTGGGTTTGAACCTCTTCATCTTCTGATTCTTCTATTGGAGTTGAAGAATCAGCTGCATCAACTTCTGGGATCATCGTCTGCTGAAACTCCACCTGTTTTGGAGTATGCTCCACCTGCTGCGGAGTACTATTTGTCTGGACAACTTCATTTGTTACATTCTTTACTAGCGCAGATTCATCAAAGGTAGCATCTCTGCTACAAATTATCTTCTTGGTGTCTAAACACCAAAGGAGGAAACCTTTCACTCCATGGGTGATTCCCATAAAGAGAGCCTTCTTTGCTCTCGGATCAAGCTTAGATTCCTTCACATGATAATAAACAGTGAATCCAAATACATGTAAGGAATCATAATCAGTAGCAGATTTTCCAAACCATACCTCTAATGGTGTTTTTCCTCCTATCGCTGATGACGGCAGACGATTGATGAGATGGCCAGCATATGTCACAGCCTCAGCCCAAAATGCCTTGCCTAACCCAGCATTAGACAACATACATCAAAATTTCTCCAAGAATGTTCGATTCATACGCTCTGCCACCCCATTCTGTTGTGGTGTATTTCTAACAGTGAAGTGTCGAACAATACCATACTCATGGCAAACGTCAAAGAATGAGTCACTTTTATATTCCCCTCCATTGTTCGTCCTAAGATGTTTGATCTTTCTACCAGTCTGGTTCTCGATCATATTTTTCCATTTCAGGAAAATTCAAAGCACTTCATCTTTAGACTTCATCGGATTCACCCAAACTCTTATGGAAAAGTCATATACAAAAGTTACAAAATAATGGTTTCCTCCCAAAGATGATGTCTTTGAAGGACCCCATATATCTGAGTGAATATAATCCACAATACCTTTTGTATTATGTATAGTGGTGCCAAACTTCACTCTTTTCTGCTTTCCCAGAACATAATGCTCGCAAAAGTTCAATTTGCAAGCCTTTGCACATTTCAACAATCCTTTTTTGCCAGAATTGACAAGGATTTTTCTCCAGTATGTCCCAACCGCATATGCCACAACTGGGTTGCGTCCAAATCATCACCTCCGGAAGTTGCTGCAACTGCTCCAATAATTGTACTACCTTGATAGTAATACAAATTATTTTTCATGATGCCCTTCATCATCACAAGTGCGCCATATGTGACTTTTAAAACTTCATCTCTCATAGTGAATACTGAGCCTTTGGATTCCAATGCTCCCAACGAGATGATATTTTTCTTCAAACTGGGCACGTATCGGACATCCGTCAGAATTCTGGTTGATCTATCTTGATTCTTCAATCAAATTGAACATATCCCAACAGTTTTACAGGCATTGTCAGAATCACTCCCGATTAGGGGACATATGATAGGTGCAACCCGAATATAATATCCATTCATTTGAATGGAATGTTGTTGATGAAGCAACCAATAATATGTCAGAATCATTTACATCATGCTCTGCAACACATGCATCTGGAGCAACTTTTCCTTTCTTCTTCAACTTCGGACAATCTTTCTTCCAATGGCTTTTCTCATGACAAAAGGCACATTCATCTTTTCCCAGTCTGGACTTCGACTTTGATCTCCCTCTCCACTTTGGCTTTTGACTTTTTGAGCGACCTCTTGCCACCATGGCCTCCGCTGCTTCGTACTTGCTCTCCTTCTTGGTTTTCTTCCTGAGCTCATAACTATACAAAGCAGCAGTTACATCTTTAAGGGTAACAATATCCTTACCATGAAGTAGCGTTGTCTCAAGGTGCTCAAATTCATCTGGAAGAGATGACAACAACATCAAGGCCAAATTTTCATCTTTAAAGGTTTTATCCATGCCCAATAAGTTTGCCTCTAGCTCATTGAATGCAGTGATGTGTTCATTCATACTGATGCCTGGTTGATAATCAAATCTGAACAATCTTTTCTTCATGTGAATATGATTCTGAGAGGTTTTCTTTAGGAATTTTTCCTCCAATGCTTTCCACATCTTACTTGCAGAAGTCTCGTTCTTATAGCCATATTTCTGCTCCCTGGAAAGACAAGATCGAATCGTGTTGTACGCCAAATGATTGATTGTTCCCCATTCTTTCTCCTCCATATATTCGGGTTTTTCTTCCTCAATGGCGATGTCTAGACCTTGTTGGAATAAAGCATCTAACACCTCGCCTTGCCACATGCCAAAATGAATGGATCCATCGAACAACTCCACCGAGAAATTTGCATTTGACATAATCCTCCTCATCGGTCCGGATGAAGAGCTTGATGTCTTAACTGATCTGTATTTTGGTATTTTAATTTCAACGAAAAATATTGAATAGCACGAACTGTATTTTTTCAACAACGGAACCATAAGGATAACCTCAACCGAAGCTCTTATGCCAATTGTTGGGGAAATTGGGTTATTTTCCACACGAACGTAGTTTCAAAATTGACCAAAAATGTCAAGATCAAAACCACCAAAGGTTGCACAACGGATAAACTTGTCAAACTATTGAATATTGAAACACAATGAAAAAAACCGAATAAAAATAATAAAGGAGGGAACACACCAAATTTACGAGGTTCAACGAGAATATCGTCTACTCCTCGGGCCCACACCAGATGATAACTTCACTATATCGCCAATATTACAACAAATGAAATTCTTTAGAATTCCCAAAGTGAGAGAATGAAGAATACAAGAGGAAGAGAGAACTTATTTTTTAGGATGATATCTAATGAAATACTTAGGTCTATTTATAGTTGAATTTTAAGAACTAAACTTATAAATAACCTAATATTTTAGGGATTAAACATGAAAAATAAGTTGTCTACCTATTAAAGAATTTTCAAATGTGTACAAGTTTATCATCAAATATAAAATTTTCATGTTCAAAATTTGACCACCAACTAAGATTAAATTAACTACCAACCAAAAAAAAAATTTCAACTTGTCAACTTAATCTTAAGCCAAATTTATCACCATCCACAAGAGCCTCTACCACACCAATGATGTTCCCCAGGACATGATCGACAGGAGAGTCGAGGTTGTTGCTCGTCTTAAGGCTTTGGAAGACGTCGCCGCCCTTATCGTCACTTTCCTGCAGAACCCTAACGCTGTCCAGGAATTGCGTGCTGATAAACAGTATAATCTCCAGATGCTCAATGACAGTTACTGGGTCTGTTTTTTATCTAATTTTTGGTGGCGTTTTTTCGTTAAATTTAAGGTTATGTTTAGAATAATTTTAATGGGGAAGAAGATTACTTTTTACAGATTGGTCCAGATCAGATAGAGGCATTGTGTCAATATGCAAAATTCCAGTTTGAATGTGGAAACTACTCGGGTGCTGCTGATTATATGTATCAGTACAGGGCTTTATGTACTAACAGCGAAAGGAGTTTGAGCGCTTTGTGGGGGAAGCTGCCAGCTGAGACACTGATGCAAAACTGGGATATTGTTCTTGAAGAACTTAATCGTTCGAAAGAAATAATCGATTCCAAGGTTTCCATTATAATAATGATTGATTATACTGTTTTTATTTTGAACATTTGTTTTCCCTTGATTCATTGACCCATTTGTTTGCATTTGGTGTTTGTCTTCTTTCTGCAGAGTTTCTCATCGCCTTTGAACCAAGTTCAGAGTAGAATATGGCTTATGCATTGGAGCCTCTTCATCTTTTTCAACCATGACAATGGAAGAACACAGATCATTGACCTGTTTAATCAAGACAAGTATGTCACTTCAATAACTAACCCTAAGATCTCATTATTTATGTAGTTTGTGACATTATGGTTTTAAGCTTATCTGTTATTTGTGCATTTTTTGTACTTTTTATGCTTCAATTTTGGATTCTGCTGGAGTAAAACATGTTTAGATACTTTATGGAATTCCTTCAATCATTGTTTAATATGAAAAGTTATTATCCAACATTGCCATCAAAGTGTTGTACAATGGTTTGTGGTTTAAAAACCAGATTCCTCTGTTCCTTCTTTCCTTTCGTTCCTGTTTATTATCCAACATTGCCATCAAAGTGTTGTACAATGGTTAAAAACCAGATTTTTCTAGCCCTTGGTATCATAGAAACTACCATAAAGACTGAAGCTTTATTAAAGTTATCCAGTTGGTTAGGTAAAGTTCCTAGGGCTCTGGTTTTCATAAATGAACAGGGTTACAGGGGAGTATTACTTGATTACTATGGAAACTGAAGCTGTTTTTACATTTGACACAAATCTGGTTTGATTCTGCAATAAACTGTTAATCGACTTACAATTCGTAATTCGATCACAAACTTTAAACAACTTACTGGATGGCTTGTCATTTGGATTGTAAATGTTTTAGATGAGTCAAGAGGTTGAGGAGAAGCTAGCTTTTTGTTAGAATGCCTAAATTCTTTCTTTCTTTTTTGTGAAACAGAGAAGGTATAGGGGATGAATTTAGAGCAATGCTTGTGTTTTCAATATGTGATTTGGAAATTTTCTGCATTCAGTTTTGTTTTCCTGCTTGTGTATATTTGATTTATAGATGGTAATAAGAAAGCTTGAACCATCACAGGTATAGAAGCTCGGGGTTTTATCTTCGGTCCTCCCATTGCACTGGAAATTGGAGCAAAGTTTGTTCCCTTGAGAAAACCGAAGAAGTTGCCCTGTAATAGTGCAGTATTGTCCTAGTGTTTATGCATAAGATGGATAAATTCTTCTATTGACTTGTATCAATGGAATTTGTCTGATAAGAAAAAATGGACACCAATCTGTAATTAATTGTCAAGATTTCTGATAAGACAGGGTGATTACTAGCACGTGTGTTTATGTCAACTATGAATTTGATGGAGCACAGAAGAAGATGAAGAAGTGTGAAGAAGTAAGTTTGATTATAGTATCCTATATCAACAGAAGATTTTGTTAAGTTCCTCACTGTCTCTATTGCTGATGTTTCTCATGTTGTGCTGGAATATTTAGCAGTATGTTTGATAATTTCAAGCACTATGTTTACGCCATAGTCGTAGGGTTAAGTCGTGGGTATACTCTACTTTAGTGGCGTTTATTGGAAACTTGATATCGTAGTTATTTTACTTTGCTTTCCTTTTTCATTTCAGTAAAAGCAAAATGGAAACGATGTTATCTGCGTACGCAACTAATTTTATAGATAAATGCTTAAGAATTTATGGGAAATGATAATTGATGTAGAACTCAAACAAAGGTGGAATAGCCTGGATCTGAAAAGTTGAATTTATGACTTTTACAAGCTATGATGCTTATTTGTCTAATACATTTTCTTTAATCGCTTCCGTTCGTTAGACACTGAACACTTTACATGTTCCGATGGCAGTGGATCTGAAAAGTTGAATTTATGACTTTTACATGTTTCTTCAACACTGTGTTGACTGATTCTAATCAACACTGTACATGTTCGTGAATTAACAGTTGGTTCTGTATCAAGTTGTAGCGTACCGGATGAGGGTTTGTATTCATAAAGGGATTATTTAACCCTGTTGAATTGAGCATAGATACATAGTGTAGTTGAATAGTTTTCACTGTCTTGGTAACGTTGTCATTGCTTACATATTGCTATCAATTGTAGACTTGTAGTTAGCTTAGCTGCTCCACCAACAATTGGGTGACACCATGGAGAAAGTGGATATTTTATCAGCATTGGCTGAGGTTGTACTGGAAAGAGGTCAGTAAATGATTACTTATAATTGTTTTGATTCATGCGCTTGATCGGGTTTGGTGGAGGGAATGATGAACCTTCGTGAATTGACAGTCTTTTTCTTGAAGCATCTTATTTCACCTAAATTGTCAATTTTCTTTCTGTTATGCTTTTTTAGAGGATATTGAATCTTCACTTGGTGACTACCAGAAAGCTGTCTCCATTTTGCAACGGCTAGTTGAACCTAATAGCCGACAAATAGTCGAACTGTATCCTTGATATATTTAAAATGTTATTATTATACAGTTTGTTATTCTTTATGCGATTTGTAATACTCAATCCTAGGTTTAATTAAATAGTGTTCCATCTTGGTTGGTCTGTGTATGCTAGTCAAAATAGAACTGCGAATCCCCTTATTCTGGTCTTCAATTTCACTCCGGTTCTATTTTTGCTACTCAACCCAATAATTTAGAAATTTTCGAATATGTATGAGTTTGGAGATTGTAACAAACCTTCAGAAGCAATTCCATTCTGTCAGAAGGCCATCTCCGTTTGCAAGGGTCGGCTGCAGCGGCTTAGAAATGAAATAAAGAATTGCTTAGACCGAGCATCATCTTCAGCTGCATCTGAATTGCATGATGGTGTACCCCAGAGTCCACCGTCTTAGGTGTTATTATTGTTTATTCTAGTTAAAAATGTTGAACCACGTTATATTTTACGTTAATGTAAACTTTGATTTATTATTATGGATTTCAATTTTCTTGTTATGGATTTGAAGTTTGTTGTTATGATTGTCAAGTTTATTGGTTAACATTTTAAATTTGGGTAACAAAAGAGTAGAAAACAACATTTGGAAAATTGTTTTAACTCGCGACATTTGTATAAAAAAAGTCATTAAATACATAGTTAATATCGGCGTTTTTTATAAACGCTATTGAACTTTTAGATCTTTTACAGCGTTTATACAGAAAACACCACTAGACGTTCTAAATTCACAAACGACACTATATGATATAACATTTAGCGGCATTTTTGGGAACAAACGCAACTATATGTCAGAACATTTAGTGGCATTTTTGGGACAAAACGCCACAAAAGAAAATATAAATAGCGGCGTCGTTTTGAGAAAACCCTGCTAAATATCATAACCTTTAGCGATATTTTAATTCAGCGGCGTTTGTTTTTATGCCACAAATGTTTTTAGCGGCGCTTGAAAATCCGCTATATGAATGAAAAAATATCGCTAAAAACCTGTTTTGTGCTACATCTTTTACTAATCAAATAAGCCTCAAAAGATATTTCTAATCAAATATAAGATTAAGGGAAACATTAAAATGAATTTAGACACATATACATGCTATGAACGAAGCTTATAACATCCTAATGGCTAGAAGATGTGGAGCTTAAACCTCAAGATTTCTCCGCACCATATTTCATGAAAAATGTGGAGCTTTTCTTATAGTTTAGAAGATGTAGACTAATAATCTTAACCTTGAATCACACACAATCACTACAAAGTTGGCACCTTTTACTGCTAGAGCCATAAGGCTTTGATGAATTAAGATATAATTATATTGTATTTGCTAAATATATCTAGATAATTATAATTTATAATAAGCGTAATTATTAGACTAATTATTATATTTTGTGGTGTCAATGAAGTTTGAGAAGTTAAAATAGAAAACTAAAAAGTACAATAGTTTTTTAATGTATTTTTTAATATTGTTTTTAATATATATATATATATATATTTAAAATAACCATTTACCACATATATATAAATAGATGTAAATAAATAATAAAACAATAAAAAAGAAGCTGTCTTCCCCTCCTAATATTCTTCTCGGGATTGGTGGTAAAAAAGAGAGAAAAGTCTCTCATTTCTCTATAAAAACTCATCTTCTCCCTCATTACCCTATTACTATAAGCTCCCCTTTCTCCAATCTCTCACTCCCTTTAACTTGCTTCTTTTTCTTTTTGAAGCCATGGTTGGTTCTCAAGCCTTAGGGTTTTTTTCTCATGAAAGTGGAAAAAAATGGCCCTCTTCGTATTCTTCCACAGCTTTCTTGAACTGCAACTTCGTTTTAGATTGTTGGTTTCTTTTGTTCTTGGTAATGGTGCATCCATGTGGGCAGTAGACGCCTACACGGTCTATTTTGTTGCGGTTCAATAAAGCTGTGGGAAGATACAATCAGGGCCAGAAAACAAAAGTTTTCAAGATCGATCGTCCAATGTTTTACTTTGTGTGCTTACTTGATCTTCTGTTAACCTAATCATTCTTCCTTCTCCTTTTTGTTTTACCTTTCTTATCCACTAGCAAGTATCTTTCGTAACACGATTTCACTGTAAATAGATGATAAGTATACAGATTATAGCTCAGTGATTCCCGTGCTGCTTTGCTTTAAAAAAAATGACAGATAATTCTCAACCCTAAATGGGTTTTGGATGCAGTAACACTGTAAACTAAGATGAGGGGGAGAGAGAGTGATAGCTGATAGGTTTTGTTTTGGTACTTGACATTTTCTTTAAGTTATAGATTTTTGTCTTAATTTAGATCAGACATTACATAAATTTAAGTGAATCCCTTAATCAAAATTCTTGTCTTTGCTAAGTAGTTGTCAATTGTCAATAGTTTGTTTTGGATCTTCTTCTTGTTTAATTGTTTGGACTTTGTTTTATATTAGTATAGGGTGTGCCCCTCATCTGTAGGTTCCACAGAGCTGGACTTGATAGGTACGAAAAGGCTCTTTCACTCGATATTTGTAGTTAACATTTGTATAGTTATCAGCTGACCAACCTGCAGTTATATTCCATGAATAAAATTATTAACTTTCAGCCAATTTTCATAAATTTCCCAAACCAAAAAGATCCCATTGCAGTCAAAATCTTCTTTCTTGTGAGTGGCTAATATGATTCACTGCTTTCTCTCATTAATGATGGATCCATTCTTTTTTTAATTTGTTTATAGCGTAAACTTGTTTCTGGTTTTGACTGCTTAGAACTGCCTTTTTAACTATAATAGGGTTATACTACTCAAATAAGTCGCATTAAAGTTCCAGTTATATTGAATGCTAGCTACATATAGATGGACCACTGGAGAGTTAGGCTTTACCCTACCCTAATCTCTCATTGCTCAAGTTTATTGTCATATTGCTGTTCAGTGAATAAACCTTTTATCAAATGATGAACGTTAGAAACTCGGCAGCCTAGGGTTTCGGCATAATGTCAAAATTAGCCACAATGTTGATCTAAATGGTCACTTCAGTCCTTTTTTATAGTATTTTAACTCTTAACGTTTCAATTTTTATTCAAAAAAACTTATGTTAGATGAAAACTATTAGTTGACTCAACGCATGGTGCTCACGTGACATTTCTACATATGTTTAATTGTTGATGTGTCACTTATCGCGTCATCATCTTAGGTGATGTAACACATGCCATATCATCATCTTAATTGATGTAACACATGTCATGTCATAGCATTAGATGATGTAATATATCAATAATTTAGCACATGTGATAATATCACATCCCTTTAGTCAAGTAACGATTTTTATCCCTCGGTGATTATTCGACTAAAAAATGAATCATTAAACATTAGAGTGCTAAAAAAAAGAATATAAACAAAATATATATCATCCAAACAAATGTTTGGGCCTAATTTTGACATTATACCTAGGGTATTTTTTTTTATTGTTTCTTAACAGTGTCCAAGGACAACTTAGCTGCAAGAAAAAGGGGTTCTAGAGTATCCTAAAGACGTTATATATCTTGCCCTGGTAGTACTGGGTGGATATTTGAACATCAGATTTGAACGTAAGCTTATTTTAAATACAGGGATTGAGATTCAAAATCTTTTACAGATGTAACATAGAGCATGGCTCCTTTATGATACATCTGTAACATGCTAGATTCAGTGAACTGATGTAAATGAAATGATTATCCATTAATTAACTGACAGTCTCCTTTCTGATATATACTGTAATTACCTTATTTGTTTAAAGCGTTGCACTAACGTTATTGTAGCTCAAAAAGAAAGATTTGGGGATCTAATCTGTAATTAAACTAATATGTTAAATGTTATTTGACAACCCATCTACCTTTAGAAAATGCAGGACGGAAAGCCTTTGAAATCTCATATCTACCGAAGAGTTATAATTCTTGATCCGACTTCTAACATGTCCACTGCTCATATAATCATTATCAACTAAATTTATTATATGACAATTAAATATTTGTTCATCTTGTCAACCTTCAAATAACAATCATCACCTTAAGTCTAACATAAACACTTCGGGCCGTTGTATAAATCACCATGCAAAGTTGTCTGAGAGAAAAAACTCTCTTTCTCTTACAAATCTCTTCAACTATTCATCATCTTCTTGAGTTCATTTACTCTATAATTCCTCCACATAATCACTGGTTATAATTCCCAATCAAATCAAAAGAAAGTAATGAACAGCTAAAGGTTACCATAATCTCATTTTTCCCATCAACAATAATCAGATACTAATTCTAGATACAGTGTGACGATGAGGAGGGTTCACAATGTCTCCTGCAAAGGTAGTAAATATGCTATAAATATTCCTTGTTGATCTTGATGGTCAACAAAGTTGCTATTTATCTTTGTTGGGGTGACGCACTTTGAGAAAAGAAGATGGAAATAAGGGCAAAGGCGGCCCCGGCCTTGTAGTAGTTTCAGTTGCTGTCCCATTTCGCCCTTAGCTCCAATGGTTTCAAAACAAAGAGTTATGCCTCAAAAGCGACGTGACTCAACAATTTTGGCCAACACATGGGCGCGCCCATTATTGCTCTGCCGTGCCATTTCCCTTTCACTTTGTCCTTAATGCCATGCCCTTCACTTTCAAGCTCTTTACTCTATTATATCTCTTTAACCGGCACCAGTTGTATAGTATTGATATTTGTTGTATCTTTTTTTAATATGTTTGTAAGATCAATTTCCATAAGACTTCTGGGGAATATTCTGCAGTAGAAGTCTCAAAAGAACATCTTCGAAAAATAGATTTCAAATGCCTAATATATTTAAGAAGTTACAATTTCTTGACATGACTAATTTACCGACCATAGACTATATCCATTGATTATGTCAACCTAGAAATAGACATAATGATTCTACTCTTGACATTAACACTAAAGGTCATTACCAAATATATCGGTCAATACTAAGAAGGGCTAGCACCCTTCACCTCCACTCTTCTTCCTCAAGGAAACAAAAAATATTTACATTAGCCAATTGTCGTTCAACTATTAACTACAACTCTCCATTCAGATTAAACTGCCTACTATCGCTTTAACCATTTTATTCCCATCAACAATATTCGAAGTTGTTTTCACTCTTTATTACATTAAACATATCTATATCAAATATGAACTTGTCACGCCCGAGTTCAATTACATAGTACACAACAAAAAGTCAATATTCTCGACCCGAGTTACAAAGAAATTCATAGGAGCAATATCATAGAATTTAAACGTACAAGAATATATTGTGGGTTGAAAGTTGAAAGCACCCGATGATCAGTGAGACTACAGATTTATTCAATGCGTACAAAAACGTGAAGGGTTCAAGTGACCCTCTCTCCCCCCAACAGAATCTCAGTTGTTGGTTCAGTACTTGCAATGTTTGCTTTACATAGTATAGTAATTTCAAAGGTAAAACTTATATGACGGGAAATTACAATTCATATAAACATCCAATTATTTTCTTTAGTTAACTGAAGGTATTGGTGGGGTAGTTGACCCTTTTGAAAATCTTAAATTTTCATATAATTTAAGTATATTTTTTTATATTTTCACCCTTTAAAATTTTATAAATTCATCTCTATTGTAAAATCTTACGTCCACCGTTTGATTATAATTACAATTTAAACAATATAAGTATATAACTACAATAAAAATTAATCAGTATAATATACAAATATGATTATAATCAATATATTCATATAATTATAATTAAAATCAATTATTATAGTTTACAAATTGATGTATTGATAACCAAAATATATTTATACCTTGAACCTTGAATAAAAAAATTATATTCATGTATCAATTCGAATTAAAAAGTTAAATTTAAATATCTAATTGGATAAACACATTTATGTATCAACTTAAACCTTGAAGCTACGTTCAAATACCTAATTAGATAAAAAAAACATATTCAAACATCAACATTGTTTTGAACAATTCCTATCTAAGGGGAGGGGAAAGAGAATTTTTGCTCTTAATGGATAATGAACTCACAACCTAGAAGAGAATGGAGGGTGTCAACTAAGATGTTTTAACCATATGCTCTACAGATTATTGACAATATCAAATTGGACTTTTTTTATTAATATAAAGTGATTACAAAATAGTATTTGTTCTAAAGATTCTGAATCATTTGACAGTGAATGCTCAAATATACTTATAGTCTCTATTGCTCAAACATAAGACCTCTAAAATAATAACTACCCTTTTAATCAAGGATGTAATTTGGTTCGTGTATACTAAAACTAAATGCAGGTAACAAAATGTGTATTGGCCATACTCATAATTGATTTTGTTTATAAGATTGAGCTTGGCCTTAGCGTAAGGCTTTGAACAGAAAGAGACAAAGGGCAAAGGCTTGTATTATTGTTTGCCATTGGGCTTCCTTTCAAAGTCAAAATTGGTTCTTCACACCAAACCCTAAAAGTCCAAAACGAAAGAGAGAACAAGATTGTTCCTTTTTAGGGGGGGGGAACTTTAATTTAATAACCCCACAAAATTTTACCTTATCCCCCCATAAACCAACAACTACTCTCCACCTTTCAGGTCCAATTAGCTTCTCTTTTTCGGGTCTGTAAGCCCAAATCTTCCATCGTCTTCCTACTCCCCCTTTTCTCTTCCTGCAAAACCCTAGATCTCTCTCCCCTTCAACGGGACTCACTTCCCGGCCTTCCTATTCGCTCCCAGATCGATTATCTTTGGGGCTTTGACAATTGACCGGTAAAACTCTCCTTCCCTTACCTAATTCTTCTATTCATTTCTTATGATTGTAAATTCCGGGTTTTCCCGCCTCTTCTGTCCGATTTCTATGTCTTTAATGCTTGCTTCGTTGTTTCTGAGTTTGGGTTTTGATTTAGACGTTTCGTGCTTCAGTGTCCGGAGAGAATTAATCTCGAAATTGTTGGTTTTTGTTATTTATATAGCTTCTTGCTTATTCATGATCTGGTTTAAAAGTTCTGATTCTTAAGCTCTGGTTTCGCCTCTTTGATGTTAATGGGTCCTTTTCGCTTCGGTTGCTGATCTGGGTTTTGTTTTTTCATTTCTATGTTTTGTGTTTATTGCTCTTGATCTGCGTTTGGAACTTCCCGTGTTTGACATCGAATTGGGTTTGATCTGGGCTTTTTCCTTTATCTCCATGTTTGTTTTGTCCTTCATTATTGTAACTTTGAAAACCCTAGATCTACTTTTGTGCAATGTAAAATGTGAGGTCACTTGTTAAAGAAGCCCATTTAGATGTGAAATGTCTATTTTAGCCCTGGTGCCTCAGGTGGGTCCATCTGACTTATACCTATCCAATACAAGCCCTGTAAAGTTAGATTTGCTGTTATCATGACTTGGCTTTATTGTGGACCGCCTAGACACGTGGCATAGTTTCATTTGCTCCTTTATTTTCTAATGGCCCGACCGTTAAGACACAAGTGTGGGACTTGATCGTTTTGGTCATTAAATTTTTTAAATTAATAAAATGACACTAAAATAATCACTACAACGTTATTTGGATATAAATTTAATCATTATTTTGTAATTTTTAAAAGCTTAATGACTATAATGGTTATTTGGACATAATTCAGTCACCTCTGGTATATTTTACCTTAAGTATAACTGCTCAGTAAGTTGTACACAGTCACAAACATTTTTACTTGAAAAACAAAACTGAAGATTGAACCATGGAACAAATACAACGAAACACGTGACAATATTTCTTTAAGGTCTTCTCTGAATATTGGTTCAAATGTTATGTACTCTGGACAGAGTCCTGTTCATTGTTAGGTTTGAAAGAACTTGAAACGTGTAATGTCTTAATTTAAGGGGGAAAAAGTTATTTGTCCAAAGGAGTAAATTCCCTATGTGAAGATCCGTTCTCGTGATTTCAGCCTAATTTTGGATTCGGGATATGTTGAGTTTTGTATATGGGTAAGGGTGTAAATGAACAGATCGTTCTATGAACTGTTATAATGTATGTTTATGTTTGTTCATTAAGTTAAATAAACGAGCGGAAACAAAATTTCTATGCTCATTTAATAAATGAACGAACAAGAATAGTGGTGTGTTCGATTCATTTATATTTATGAACAAACTCGTTTGAAAGTTCATTTATTAACTCGATTTTAAATATTAGTGAAAGTAGGGACTAAATAAAAGGGTAAAAAGGGAGTGTTGGTTGCCGAAGAAACTCGAACTATATAGATGAACATGTTGGCGAACGTTAAATGAACATGTTCCCGAACACTAAACAAACCAACATGAACATCTTCAAAAATAAAAAAATAAACACTATATTAAAATTTTAAACAAATTCAAACTGAACATGAACACTTTCAAAAATAAACAAACGAACAAAACCTTGTTCCTTCAAGCCCGATTCATTTACACCCCTATGTACGAGTAGGTGTTTGATCTGGATATATTCAGTTTTCTGAGCTTGTTCATGTGATTGGTGTGTGACATTCCGATATCCATGTCTGCAGAAGTGTTGGTTTCGAGTGTAGGAGATGATACTTGAACAAAAATGAAGAATTTCAGTAACATAAGATTTACGCATTCCGACTTCGATAACATTATTGAATATTCAACTACCTAGGATAAACTTTTTGTTTCATAATTCTTCTCTTTCCGACAAAAGCAGCTCTTATATGTGATCATGGATTACCAGGTCGTGGGTATATATATCATTTGATGGTAGAATTTTATAGTTCAGTGTCTGTTCTGTTTTTCAACTATACCATATAGTTCAGTATCCAACAGTCTTGACATGAATCCATACTGTTTCTGCAGCTTAAAGATGTAATGAATCATGTCATCATTTCTCTAGAACCTCTATATATCATAGGCCACTATGTAATGATGCATCTCAAAGTTGGGAAGATTTTGTTTTGATGAGCTTTGTGAATCTTTTATCTCGCTTGATGTGTGAAACCGATCGATTTTTTCGACGAAACCTCGTTGTTTCCTTTATATTTAGCATCTTGAGTTATGTTAACCTTAATTGTAATTGGGGCTGCTCTTTTGTTTTGAAATATACGGATGTTTTTTAATTCCTTTTTAAAAATTTCTTTTGCTCTCAGCTGCGAGTTTTGCTTCCTAGTCCAAAATGGTAGAAATGGCGGAAGTGATGGAAATGGAAACAACCCCAGTGGGGAATAACAACGAGCTTGTCGTCGTCACTCATGAAACACCACCAGAATCACAGCCAGAAACACAGCCTAAACGACGGAAGAAGAAGTCTATGGTTTGGGAATACTTTACCATTGAACATGTGAGTGCTGGATGTAGAAGAGCATGCTGTAAGCGCTGCAAACAAAGTTTCGCTTATAGTACTGGTTCCAAGGTAGCAGGGACCAGCCACCTCAAACGTCACATTGCTAAAGGTACTTGTCCAGCAATCCGACGTGACCAAGATAACAATCATTTGACCACCCCATATACACCAAGGGTTGGTGGGAGTGAACCACGAAAGCGACGCTACAGATCTCCCAGTTCACCTTTCATACCATTTGACCAGGACCGTTGCCGCCATGAAATTGCAAGAATGATCATAATGCATGAGTACCCTCTTCACATGGTTGAGCATCCAGGGTTCATAGCTTTTGTTCAGAATCTTCAGCCTCGGTTTGACAACATCAGTTTCAACACGGTTCAAGGGGACTGTGTTGCAACTTACCTGAGGGAAAAGCAAAGTGTCATGAAGTTTATTGAGGGTATTCCTGGGCGTGTTTGTCTTACACTAGACATGTGGACTTCGAAACAAACGCTGGGTTATGTATTTATAACTGGACACTTCATTGATTTCGAATGGAAGTTGCAAAGACGGGTTCTCAATTTCATAATGGAACCATATCCTGATTCCGATTCTGCTCTATGTCATGCTGTTGCTGCCTGCCTGTCAGACTGGAGTTTGGAAGGCAAGTTGTTTTCCCTCACCTTCAATCATCCAACAAGAGAAGCTGGGCTGGAAAATCTTAGACCTCTACTCTGTACGAAGAATCCCCTTATTCTTAATGGTCAGCTGTTAATTGGAAATTGCATAGCTCGTACTTTGAGCAGCATGGCAAAGGATGTGCTCGGTGCAGGGCAAGAGATCATAAAGAAAATCCGTGATAGTGTAAAGTACATGAAGACTTCAGAATCCCATGAAGAAAAGTTTGTTCAAGTTAAAAACCAGCTTCAAGTGCCGAGTGAAAAGACCCTGAATCTTGATTATCAAACTCAGTGGAACACGACATACCAAATGCTGGCAGCGGCTACTGAGTTAAAGGAAGTGTTTAACTGTTTGAATACTTCTGATCCGGATTATAAGCTAGCTCCATCAATGGAAGACTGGAAGGTGGCTGAGACTTTATGCACTTTCTTGAAACCTATCTTTGACGCAGCTAGCATCCTTACAAGTACAAATAATCCTACTGCAATCACATTCTTTCATGAAGCATGGAAAATACATGCAGACTTGGGTCGTTCGATCACTAATGAGGATCCCTTCATCAGCAATCTTGCCAAGTCAATGCAAGAAAAGATTGATAAGTACTGGAGGGATTGTAGCTTGATTTTGGCAATTGCTGTAGTCGTGGATCCTCGTTTCAAGATGAAGCTTGTCGAGTTCAGTTTCACAAAAATATTCGGTGAAGATGCTCCCACATATATCAAAGTTGTTGATGATGGAATCCATGAGCTCTTTCTTGAATATGTAGCACTTCCACTGCCTTTGACACCAACATACGCAGAAGAAGGGAATGTCGGGAATGGGAAGGCCGACGATTCTCATCAAGGGAACCTTCTTTCAGACCAAGGACTTTCAGATTTCGACGTCTACATTATGGAGACTAGTGGCCAGCAGATGAAATCTGAGCTGGATCAGTACTTGGATGAGTCCTTGTTGCCTCGTGTACAAGAGTTTGATGTTTTAGGCTGGTGGAAGCTGAACAAGATTAAGTATCCGACGCTTTCAAAGATGGCCCGTGACATTTTGTCGATTCCAGTATCCGCTGCCGCTCCAGATTCGGTCTTTGATATCACGATCAAGCAACTAGATGAGTACCGAAGCTCGTTGCGACCAGAGACTGTGGAAGCCTTAATCTGTGCCAAGGACTGGCTTCATTATGGATCCGAAGTATCATCAAATGCACTTATTAAAATGGAATTTTAGATGCAAGTGTTGTTTACTTATGCTGGGGTGCTGCACTGGACATATATTTCACCTGATAGGTATGTGTACAATTAGAAAACAACTGTATTTGTATGGATGCATGGTCTTGAACACCTTAATTGTTAGAGTAGCTTGTGTAATAGCAAGAAGAAACTTTTATTTCAATTTCTTCACTCCATCTTAATACATAAACCTAATAAACGGGTTTTTTAAATAGGAGGGATTATTGATAAAAATCCCAACCAGAGCTGAATCTGATACAACTACTCTGCTTCATTTAACTCATAACTCAACTTCAACATGCACTTTTTGCCCTTCATCGGGCATTTTTTCCAAGCTGAACGTTACCAATCCAGACGATGAATCCTAATTGAACTTGGCTTCACTAGACCCAACACTGCACTTTCTTGGCTTGGCTGACGAATAGGCACCAAAGTTTCCACAACCTTTAATCTCCATGCAAATTTTTCCTACCAGTTCATTGCTAGAATTCTCCACTCTCGCACCAACAAGACAACTGCTTTCACCTTCATACCCGATATCGAGCTCGGATAGCTTGGCACCATCTTTGACTTCATATTTTAGATCCTCAATGGCACCACCGGCGTTGTACATATTGACGAGTCCTAAGGGTGCAAAACTGAATCCAGGTGCCAAGTGCATGATTGGTGTTAGTGTGAAGATTTCATGCTCGAGGACCTTGAGGGAAACCGGCATGGATGCATTGTATGGAAGGGTGATTAACTCACCGGTGCGGTGACAGTAAACTGCACAGTCACCGGCCCATTCAGGGTCCAATGAGGCCTCAGAAATGAGATGGACATCACACCCCTTTACTTGGCCTGATATGGAGTCCGTACTGGTTTGGTGGAAAGTATTTTTCCTTGCGGCGCTGTTCCATGCTGCGCCTTGGCAGTTGTAAACACCAAGAACTCCGGTGTACTTGTTCATGTTCCATATCTTCAACAAGCTACAATCAAAGAAAAATCGACCATAACGAAATGTGAACAATTTAAACATTAGCTCAAGCTTCAAATCCTTTAACTTTGCCAACAATATAACCAACATCATGTTCCATCTAAATAGTTCACTTTCTAATGCATTTATATTTTATATCTATCAATTCTATTCCAGGACCAAATAAACAGAATTTACGAGCTGATCTTACCTAACGCCGTCACGGGCCGGATCTGTAAACAAGCAATCGCGAGTAGGCCGTCCAGACAAACGAACACGGAGAATGGAACCATCAGGCAACACAATTTTCTTCAAGAGCTCAAAGTTGTGTCGTCCGGGGGCATCACTGTTGCAAACAAAAGCTTAAATACTCGGCCTAAGGATCAAATAAAATTGATTTTCCTATAGGAAACTCCTCCTTAGTCCTTACCTCACATAGATAGGGCCACCACAAATAGCGCGTGCCGAGGCATGATAATCGGCGGCCGGATGAAGGGAGTGGAACATATCCCAATCCGGCAGCATAAATTCCCCAAGGAAAACACTATTGTAGGCCACCGCCGCAATGTGGATGGTGTGTGACACTGGATCACGGGGGTAGAAATCGTCAGATGCTCTCACAACCGCCGTCTGTTTGGAACTGTTTCGACACGATTCAAACATCATAACAAAACCCAGAAATCAAAACATCAAAAGAAAATTATTGAAGCAGAAGGCCAAGAAAAATTACCAGTAGAGTGCATCGGTGTTATGGCTCATGCAAGCGATGATCCCATTATCGGGAAAATTCCTCTTCACCGATGCATCGACAGCCTGATGATATTGCCGCGTCAACTCAACCCGGCCACCGAGCCCGGCTCCGAGTGTTTCCAAAATGCACTGCTCGTCCACCTTAACTCCATCTACACCCGCATCCGCCAGATAGCTGTGCAACTCGTTGTAAAATTTGTACACGTTTTTCGGGTTCCCCAAACCCAACCCTTGAACCGCTATCGCATCGGTTTTCCACCCGGTTCATTATGCACCACTCCTTTGGAAACCATCGAGTACCGGATTTTCGACCCGTATCCTCCCATTTCCTTAACTCCGGGCCGGACTCCGCCCCAATACCCCGTAATCGCGTGCCAGACGTATACAAATTTCAACCCGTGTTTCTCTTTCGCAATGTTGACGATGTTTTTGATCCCCGATGTTGGATCATCCTTCGTCTGGAACTTCTCGTTTTCTTTTATTCCCGTCAAACGAAGCAACGGCTGTTGTTTCGTTTCCGCCTGATCGGTCGATGACGACGTGTCTTCCCCATGGGTGTCGCCGCCTACGGACTGCCATCCATCGTCGATGATCACGAACTTGGCCGGCGTCCCACCGGCAGCTAGAGACTCGAGCCCAGCTTCGACCCCTTCTTGGGTCACATCCTGGTAAAAAGCGTCCCAGGTACACCACCCGAAATAGTCGACGATTTCCGGTAATTTCTTCTCCTGCCGTTGCCGGAAAGTTTTGAGATGTAATTTGACGGCCTTGATTGCTTCCGTGATTGTACTGAAAGGATCGGTTCCAGCATGGATATAAACCGAATGCCTAAACGAAGACGCTTTGATGTCGGCGTCGCCGCTCTCTAAACACAGCTCGAGTTCGTCGTTTTGGTTCCCTTGAAAAACGGCTCGAAACGGGCCGTCGATCAAAGGGAGGAAGACGGTGTAAACGATCTGAGTTTCTCCGGTTGAGTCCAAGTGGGACCCTTCTTTGGTTTCCACCAATAGGAATTGAGTCTCGAGAGGTATGTCTTTGCCTTGATCCCCCATTTTCTGGGCCATCCACCATAACTTGAACCGAAAACAGGACATGAACCGGACGTCGCGTAAAGTGCCGATAGGCACCACATGCCTGCTCTTCTCTTCATCGAAAACCGCCCCGAGGAAAACTCCCTCAACCAGACCAGACCCGGTGCCGGACGTTGCGATCACATTTTCTGGAACTCCGGTTAGGATTGTCCGGTTCTTCACGACTAATTTCCTCTCGGAGATACGAACCGCCGGTTTAATTGTCATCTCTTCTTCTTCTTCCCGCTTCTTTAGATCAAAACCCCATTTTCAGAAACCGTAAAAACAGAGCATCAAATGCATAAAAATGGCCATAAATGCGAGCTGATAATTACCTTAAAAGATAATGCCGATAGCGTTGGATTAGAAGAAACTCCGGAAACAGCAGAAACACCTGGATTGAAACGTTTTTAAAAATTTAGCTTTGGAAACAGTGGATTTCGAGGATGTTTAGATTTAGAGTGAAGATGAACAAAAGCAAGACTCCTATTTATAGCTAAGAATCGTGTACAGTAACAAGTATTTAACAACATTACTTCTGTCTCTCTCAATCAGTGTCGATTTTTTAAAGAAAAAAAAATAAAATAAAAGTTTCTTCTTTGATTCGATTAGGTCCCAGTCTCTTGTTGATTTTAATATTTTCGCGGGAAATATCGAACAGCGGGAAATCGGTTCACTGCCGTCAAAAGCAACGGTTGATTCGATTGCCACGTCGGATCACATTATTTAACCGACCGGAGGGTTTCAGGTCACGTTCAACGTACAGTATTGGGGTTGGTCTTTTTTTGGATAAAGATGTGATTTTGTTGCGAGATGATTAGTGTCCACGTTGGCACTGCTGGACGTCTCTCACGCGCCTCAAATGTAAACCAAACGCGTGGCTTCCCTCTTTTGAATTTCCAGGTGGCATTTTGAAAATTCTTCTTAATATATTTTTGCAAGACAAGACAAGACACAATTTTTTAATATTATTCTTTGACTTTAAACCACAAAATCATTGTTTTGAAAATTGGATCGGACCGGTCGGTTCAACCGGTTTAATCAGAAATCGTTGTTTAGTCCTGTTCAAACTAAATCGGTTGAATTGTTACTAGTGAATCGGCCAGAACCTTTGAACCGTTAGAACCGGACCGGCTGAAAACAGGAAAAAACCGAAAAAAACCCGTCAATTTTGTTTTTTTTAAACAAATTAAATCAAACAACGTCGTTTGTTAAACGAGCCAAGTCGAACTCGATTATTGCTGAGCTCGACTCAAACTTTAAAAGTAACCTCAACTCAACTCAAACTCACGAACTAAAAATTATCAAGTTCAACTCGAACTCGAAATATAATATTGAAACTTGAACTCGAAAAGACTTGAACTTAACAAAAAATTAGAAGTTCGATTGAAGCCTAAAACTCGAGCTTGATTGAAGTGAAAGAATAGTTCACTCTATGCTTACCAAAAGGCTCCATGATTTTGAATGTCAAATTACCTCTATTATTTATAGAAGTTAGTTGGGATGCTCTTCTATGTTTCTCAGCCATGTGAGATTGTTTTGTTCTCATATTTTTACTCTTTAGACTTTTGAAATGTTCTTCTATGTTTCTTAGCCATATGAGATTGTTTTTTAAAAAAAAATTAAACCAAACAATATAACTTTGTTATGATTTTTTTAGCACCAAATTTATTTTTTAATTATAGTTATATAATTATATTTATTATTTAATATGTTTTACCTTAAATATTATGTTGTAGTTAATTTGAATCATTTTTTTCACTTGATTTTATGGTTTTTAACTCATATATGTTATGACTTGCTTTGAATATGACTTGTGATATACAAAATTATTTTTTATTAAATATTTTTGGTATTTTTATTTAATTTTTTAAATAATTATGACGTCGTCCGGTTCTTCCGACCGATTGAACCGGTTCGATCGATTGAACTAATAAACCGATAGCATGACCGATTCGCTAACCGATCTGATTCTGAAAACCATGCACAAAACTATATTGGCCTTCACCTCCACAAAATATCTTTTTAAAATATAAAAATCATTAGATTTTATATATATGATTTATATTAATTTTAACTTCATAAAGTGGTTAAAATATTATCTTTCTTTTTATTGATTATATTTTGATTCAATTAATTTTATTGTTATTTAAAGTTATAAATTTAAATATTTTTAAATGTATAATAATATTTTTTTAGAAATTTATTTAAACATTTTAATATAATCTCTTGGTCTTGCCCGTTTAGCTCAGTTGGTAGAGCATAAGGCTTTTAACTTTGTGGTCGTGAGATCGAGTCCCACTGAGGGTAATTCATAACGGAGGTCTTCCACAGAAGTTGTTCTCAACCTAGCATTGGGGACAGCCTACTACCATATATCTCCCCCTTACCCCATTACATATGGGAATAGTGTCATCTAATATTTTAATATAATCTCTTGATAATATTTATAGCCTAAATAAAATTTTGACGAATAACAAATAATACTTTTCAAATTTTTGACATTTAATTTTTTAACTCTATTAATGATAAAAATTATAATGATTTACTTTATTCACACAAATGAGTGAAAATAAATATATGTAATTTAAATTATTAATTGTCTTTAAACAGATTAGAAATCGTTGAAACTATGTAAGGATTAGTGATGATAATATTGAATGAATATAATTGAAGAAAAAAACAAAAAGAATAATGAATCCAGGTCAGAAATGAATGGGATTGGGCCATTATTTGGATAAAATTAAATGGATATTCCCACTTGTGGAGCTTTATTGGGAAAAGAGGCGGAAAATAGAGCAAGTGGGTTGCCCCTTTCTATGAAAACCAGGGCAGATCATTTGGGATATTAATTGAGGCATTCTTCCTAAAATGCCACCCTAAAAATATATATTTTCAAATTAATATTAGTTTTAAATTAGCTTTCAAACAAATTTTATTTAAATAAGAATATATTTGTCATGTCTTTAAAGAATAATATTCAGAAATTATCGACTCTCGTAAAGTTTTCAGATTAATCCCTTCGTTTATTGAAGTTTTTAAGGAATATGTATCTGTCAGTCATTAAGTAAATTATAATGTATGTACAAGAATTCTGACAAGTTCATGTGATTTATTATAACGAAATCCTAACAATTATATCTATTTAATATGATTGCCTACAAATGGTGACAATAACTTATGTCTAACACTAGTTAAGAACTGTTATAAATATGCCGGTCAAGATTGATAAGAGAGACGAAACTTAAACTTTCTAGACACAATCTTCTTGGTGATTAAATTTTCTCTCACCAATAAACTTTGATCAAAAATTATTATCTCGTTAGCCGTGATTTTTCATTGAACATCAAAAAAAGAAATAATTGTCCATAGTCGACGAACTAAATTTATTTCAAATAATATCACATCAAATATAATTTTTAAAAATCAATCCAAGTTTAATTTATATAGATAAAAACTTAAATTAAATAAAAAGGATAGAAATATTTTTTTATATAAAAATAAAAATACACGTAATACATAATTAAAAAAAGCCTTCACCTTATCCCTGAAAATGTATGCATGTAGTCGATATTTCAATTTTCAAGCTTACGTGATATTACAAGACAAACAAATTCAAATCATTTGCCACATATATACATATATATATATATAAGAAATCAGATTCATCACCAATTGTTGGATTCAGAGCTGTTAATGATAATAGGTTTTAATCAATGCTTGCTCTGGGTTTTCGTTTAATATAATTAATGTCCAAGTTCGTGAATGTTGTCTGACATATTTAATAACGAAAAATTAAAGGTTTATTTCACAAATTAATCCTCTAAGTATATTTATTTTCTTATTGTGCATCTTAATTTTTTTTACCTTAGTTTGGTCCCTAAAATAAAGACGGAATTAGAATTAAATATAGAAAAAATAAATTATCTAATAAATAAAAAAATAATTCTTCTATGTAATGTCACTATTTTATCTTTCATCTCTTAATCGTACAACTTTAACTTGTTTTTTCTATATCATAATCACTAAAACCCTCAAAATAAAAAATACCTAAGATGCACGAAGTACGTTACCTTAATGGTTAAAGAGATAGTTGTTATCCTTAGAGATCGCATATTCGAGCATCAGAGAATGCAAAGATGTTTGAATTTTCATTGTCAAATGGTTGAAAATCTTTAAAACATATAATATGCAATCACTTTAGATTAATAGGGGAAAAAACTAGAAATTCCTAAATAAAAACTCCATTTCCTTTAATTAACTCTGTACTATAAAATCTGAAATACATGATGTACAAATTCATTCAAGCTATTAATACAATATATTTTTGCATACCCTAAACATCATACAAGACTTAACACGACTAATATGGCAGAGACTTAACATGACTCAACCGCAGTCATATTACTAAGGGCTCTGGCAGCTCTCTGAAACATGCGAAATATAGCTCTATTAAGGGCATCTTCATTTATATCAGTATCCTCATCTCCAGTGACGGTAGGGTCTCTCACATGAGTAAACTGGCCATCATGAGAAAGGGTTGGATCTACTTGCGGAACAGGAGGATCACGTTGTGACATCGGATCGTCTATCGTAACAGAAGGTCGAGTGACTCGTCCTCGACCACGGCCACGTCCTGTCCTACGACCTCTAGCAGCACTCATCGTTGGATCTATAAGGCTCTACAGAAATAATTTGAAACATATGTCAGATTAGCATCAGGGATCTCGAAAAAAACTTTTAATCATAAAATAAGGTGACACGTTTTTTTTCTCAAAATTTCTTAAAAATTCAAAGTTTAAGACCCATCTACAGTCCGAGTATTTAAAACCGAAAGCTCTGATACCACCAAATGTAACCCCCAGACTCGGTCTATAAGTTAGACCCAAACCTAAGTGGTCACATATCTCATTCAGAGATTTTTTTTAAACAACTTATAATACATTAGATATAATACATATCAAAAATATTAATAATACAAATATATCCAAAACGATAACAAATACATGTCACCAAACACAACTGAAAAACATATAGAGATATACGTTCGTACAAAATAAATAGTTGATCTCCCTTGATGTCAAATCTGCTAACTTACGGTCTGTTGTTATCTGAAAACGGTAAAAACTACATAATGAGCTAAAAAGCCTAGTGTGCTCCTTACAGTGTATATAAAAACATACCGATAAAAATTTTTCAGTAAAATCGATTTATGAAAACATGTCATTAAAAATATGAACATT